TGATAAGGGATTGCTTAATAGTACAATATAGGTACATCTTGCCCCTGCTGCTGCAGAGCTGAACCACCAGCTCCTAACTGTCCTCGGTGGCATCACAGTCGCTGCTGCCTGTCTCCGTACCCAGCGCTGCAGGGCTGGAGGCAGTGCACCTCCCATGGCACCCAGAGCAGAATCAGCTCAAGCAGCATATACATCTCTGTTGACACAGTGGCTGCAGGCCATGAGCTGGAGCTGCCTATGCTTTCGGTGGTGGGGAGTGCACGGAAGGCCACCTCACCCTCAGCCTATATCATGCCAACTCTGTCCACGGGCTCTACTAGTGACACAGGGCTCAAAGCCTCAAAAACCTACACACAATGGGACTTATACGGGAAAATGGTACAGCAGCAGAGAGAGAATCTCTCCAAGTTTATTGTCCAGACCCAAAAAACATAGTAACATGAAGAAGAAGAGGAGGGTGGTGGGTCCCACAGACACAGGAAGGATCTAAACTGAGAGCTGAAGCCCATGGAAAGAACTAACTCAGGAATCCAGCAAAAGTAAGAAAACCAGGGGCAGTGGCCGGGGCGGCCAGGAGAAGCAGAAAGGAAGCCACACAGTCACCCCCTGTGGTGGTGGAGGCCCTGCTGGCCAGGGTGAAGCATTAGGAAAGCTGTGCAGCCTCCCTGTGTGCTGACAGAGGTTCTAAAGGCCAGGAACAAGTCTGAGGAAGCTGCCTTTCCCTACCCCGCTGTAAGCAACCTGATGCAACACAGGCTGAGACAATAATAACCAAAGAAGGGAAGCAACCTGACATTTGTGTTGTTTGACTGACTGTGCAAGCCTGGGGCCAGTAGACTGAGCTGCTATTTAGGGGATAACAATATACAATATAGTAATGATTGTGGATTTCCTACTGTCCTATCACTATTTTATTTTCCTGTTCTGTTTTATTTCCTTAAAAAAAAAAAGTAAAGTCCATCATTACCCATATATATTATTTTTAAATTATATACCTTGCAACTCAACAGCAAAAATCTCCCAAGTAACCCAAATAAATAAAAAATGGTCAAAGCTGGGCACAGTGGCTCATACCTGTAATCCCAGCACTCTAGAGGCAGAGGTGGGAGGATTGCTTTGAATTCAAGGCCAGCCTAGGCTCCACAGTGAGTTCATAAACAGCCTAAACTACAAAGCAAGACCTGTCTCATTTCAAAAAAATTCAAAACACCTGAATATTCTTCCAGAGAAAAACAGAAACACCCATTAAGCCTTTGAAAAGATGCTAGACACCACTAACCATTGAGGAAATTCAAATCCAAATCACTCAGTAAAATGTCATAATTTAAAGGAAAAATACCGTTGGTGACATGTAGAGAAACCGGAAAATTTTTGCACTGCTATTAGGAATGGACATGGTACAGCCATTGCAATCCCTCAAAAAATTAAACACAAGATTACTATATATCCAATATTTACTTCTAGATACAGATCCAAAAGAAATGAAAATAGGAACTCAGAGATATTTGTACACCAACATTCACAGAAGCATTATTCATAATAGCTAGAAGACAGAAATGATCCAAATGTCCATTGATGGCTAAATAGATAAACAAAATGTGGTACATTTCCCTGAATCAAGACATCAAATCCTTCTACCTCTGAAGAAATACTTGGCCTTAAAATGAAATTCTAGCACATGCTGTAATACTGAAGAACCTTCAACTGGGTATGGTGGTGGCAATGCCTGTAATCCCAGCACTTGGGAAGCTGAGGCAGGAGGATTGCCTCGAGCTCAAGTCCACTTTTGCCTATAGAGAGCTAAACACCAGCATGAACCATACAGTGAGATTGTCTCCAAAGGACCTTGAAGCCATTAAGCTGAGCAAAGAAGGCCAGATGCGAAAGGACAAATTTTGTATGTGTCTAGGTAGGTGAGGCGCTTAGAGTAGCCAAGCCAGGTAATTTCCTGGTGCTAGGAGGAGTGGAGAGCGAGGAATTAGTGTAAATTTATGAGAATACAAAAAATTCTGGAGGTGGATGGTGGTAGTGACAGCACAAGCAACTGAATGTACTTTGATAATATATAGTAAGAATGTTAAGAGTTGCAAAAATATTACTAAGCCTCCTTTTTAAAATTATGCTAGGTTATATTTTATGTAACATACAATAACAAAAAGGAAACATACTCAGGTTCAAAACCATTTTGTGGCTAAACTCTAGAACTCTACAGATGCACTGGGCAGCTTCAATTAAGCATAAACGAAGATACCAAGGGGGTGTAAATGGTTCCTTGATAATTATGTCCATACCCTCTGTGAGTATAACTTCGACAGCCGAAGGATACACTAAATACTTCCTCAGAGTAATCAGGAGACTTTGTTTCTTCTTGTAATAAATATGAAACCCATACAGGTCCTTGGAGTTGAGCAGACACTAGCTAGCAGTAAATATGAAGAATTAACCAATACTTGGATAGCTCCTGGGTACATACAGAGGAAGCAGAAGGTGAGGAATCTGCAATGCGATCATGCAGAGATTAGCCCAAGTAAACCAAAATGAGACATAATGAGGAAAAAACAAGAAAAACTAAAACCAAACCAAACAAGGAAACCTCGCTTGCATACAGAAGGCGAGGCACATTCTTTCTTCATTTCCCTGAATCAAGACATCAAATTGCTTTATATGGTGGAAGGACAGCCGATGACCAACAACCATTTCCCAGAAGAATCGAGCACTTCCCTTGTCAGACTGGCATCTTCTGCTGAGGACCATAAACAGCTCAGCTAGGCTGAGGCCCTGCATGTGGCCCCACGACCCTCAGATCAGATCCTGAAAATGGCTGTTACATTTGGTATTCTCAGGAGGAGATAAGACAGAAGTCTGCCCTGTAAGGATCTCTTTACTTTCCTGTAAGACACGGACATGGGACTATCACTGTCAATCATAAGAATGAGGAAATTAGGACAAAGAACACATGAACCCGGGGAAAACAACAAAGTTTATCAGATGGGGTCTCAACCTTCCAGGGCAGTGGTGGGACCCTACTGTGTGCAGGCTGCAGCAGGCTGTTTGTACCACTGAAAGCTCTAGGAGACTCACCCTCACTGACCGAGAGGGATTTAAATAACATGCCCAAGCTCCGGTCCCCACTCCAGCTGAGCCCCGCTGAGATTATAATTGAACTTGGGGTTGAGATGGTGCATCATACAGTCAGCCTGTGACTGATTTCCAGACGAGGCTGGGAACCACTGCATTAGGGAAGGCAAACTTTCTCATATATAAATTGGCCTTCTGTGACCCTGGCTGGGACTGCAACTCCCTGAAAGAGCTGACGCAACAAGTAAAATATCTAGAAATAGTACAACACTCTGTGATACATACAACACTCAAAATGCAATCATATTCCATTGCCAGAGGGCAGAGTTTCTTCATTTTCAACATGTAACAATTTTTTTAAAGGTGAAAGATGGTTCAGTTCAGTTCGGTTCTGTTTTGCTGGGGATCAAGCCCTGCGCCTCTGCACTGAATTACATCCCCAGTGAGCTACATCCCCAGTTTTTTGTTGTATTTTGAATTTTTGGGGGGTTTTTTTGAGACAGGATCTTGCGTTGCAGAGCAGGCTGGTTGTAACTCTGATCCTCCTCCCAAGTGTTATGATTATAGGCATGCACCACCACATTCAGCTCCGGGCCCTTTTTTTGTTTGAGAGAAGGTATCAATCATTAATTTACTAAATTGATCAGGTGGGGGTCAAAGTTGTGATCCTCTTGCCTCAGCCCCCAAGAATGTCGGGATTACAGGTCTGTACCACTTTGTCGCTGAATAATAAACTTCCAATGCAAGTACACAGAAGCTTCACTTTCTAGCAATTCCTCCCTATATATGAAATGAGAGTTGAAAAGGCAGTTACCAAGAGTGCTTGCCCTCAGTGGCCCTCTGTGCTCCTCCTAGAGGTTTGGTATTTTATAAGGTACACAGCTTTCACAGAGTGCACGGCTTTGCTGTGTAACCTACCTTACCAAACAGGAGGCAAGGTTTGGTTCTGTTCGATTAACACATAATTGATCTGTTTGAAAGTGACACAACAGATGGGTGTCTTTTTCAAAACTGTTTGATCTCATTATTTTGAAATAGAAATTCTTCACCAACCCGCTGCCCCAGTGATGCCAAGACTGAGGCTGCAGGTAGAGAACCTACTTGAAGGGCAGGCACCTTGAGTCCTCTTCTGGAGACCCCCACGGGGTCTTGCACACTGAGACTCCCTCAGAACCCCTCAGTCATTTATCATAAAAGAGTCTTGTCTCCAGCCCTGGAGATCGTGGTCAGTAGGTCTCGAGTGGAGCTCAGGAATTGTACTTTTAGTAAGTACATGAGAAGTTTTGCTGGAGTCTCCTAATTTTGAAAAGTTTTTCATTCACAGATGATGAAGCTAGAAGAGGGGAATGACAGAACCAAAGCAGGACCGAGGCTCCCCAGCCCTTCCAGACTGACACACTGCTGCTTGTTAGGAGCTAACGCGTGGGCTGGACTCTTGCCCTTATGCTGAATCATTGATAGGAAGTGTACCAAGTCAGCCCACAATGAACGTCTCCCGACATTCACATCACGTGGGCTCAAGACTGGCCCCGAGCTCGCTCTCACAGGTACGATGCTCTACAAGCGATGCCTCAGTCACAAGAGGAAGTGGGCTCTAAGAGGGTTACAGTGCTGAGTGCTTCACCTCAGAACTCTCCATGTTGAACTGAGACATAAAGAGGTGCAAGAAACAATGGGAAAAGGCCCTTACCAAGGAGGAATGAGGTCTGGTCAACACCTTCTGTCACTTCTGGAAAAAACCATCACTAACTTTCCAGCTATGTCAATGAGACCATCTAAGGCAATAGTAACTCCCCAGTAAAACGGAATTGTCCAGTTATTTTATAGAATGACACAAAATAAATTGTTTTTAAGTCTCCGAGGTTTGGGGTGACTATTGTGTAACAATGGAAAACAAACAAGAGGAAAAGAAACCCCCTTACCTATTGGGCTGGAAAGAGACTTGGTCATAACCTGTGAGCTCACACAAATCCTTCTCAAGCTCTCGGAAGAGCTGCTGGTACCCTTGAGCTTGGTCCAGAGGCACAAAGGGATGGATGTTTGCAAATTCTTTCCATGAGATGGGCTGAAAGGCAAGAAGGGAGGGAAAAATATTTATATCACTATAGCAATAACAACTTCAGTAATGACAATTGGATGGTGATCATAATACTTAACATCGAGAATACACAATGGAGGACCACTCTACAGTAAAGAAAGGCAAACGGTTGATGAGGAAGAAAATGGATGCACCTCAAGATCATAATTTTAAGTGAAATAAATCAAGACACACAAATGTGTATCACATGGTTCCTCTTACATGAGAAACCTAAATTACAAATAAGGAGCAAAATAAAAGCTAATATGAAACAGAGAGGTAACTTTTTCTCAAATGGGAAGGAGATCAAGAGATAGAGGGAGAGGGAAGAGAAGGGAAGGAAGGGGAGAAAAAGAAAGAATCCTACTATGTGCAAGAGACTGTTTCAAGTACTTAAATATAGGAATTTACCTTGGTCTTACCAAATCTGACAAAATTAAGTACTGTCACTATGGTAGCTTCATTGTACAAGTATGCCATGAAGGCCACAAAGACAATTTATTTAAAAAAAAAAAAAAAAAAAAAAAGGCCCCAAGATACACTTTGCTTGTTTCTTTACCACAAGGTCTCACTAAGTAGCTCAGGCTGGCCTTGAACTCACTATGGAGTAGTATCCCAAGCTGACATTAAACTCAGCTATCCTCCTGCCTCAGCCTCCCAAGTGGTGGGATTACATTTGTACACCATCACACTGGGTCCCCAAGATTGATTTATATACATGAAACCCAATGAGCTTATCCTGATTCTCATATATGCATATACTACTCACTCTCTCTCTCTGCATAAGCAGAACAAGCCACAAACATAAATATAAACAGGTGCCAGGTAGGGTGGCACACACCTGGAATCCCATCACTTGGGCAGCTGAGGCAGGAGTATCTTCCTAAGTCTGAGGCCAACCTGGACCATACAGTGAGTTCAAGGCCAGCCTGGGCAAATAAATAGGAAAATAAAGGAAGTATCCTTCCCCTCATAATATAAAACAAGTTGTCTAATGTGATTTTGCATATCAGCCTAATGCTAACAAATAAAAGGAACAGGTTAACTTTGCTAAAAAGGATCCTAAGCTTAGCAGAGATGCTAACTAAAATGCCACGAGTTACACAAATCTTCTGGTGACTCAAGGAATAATTTAAACCTCCAATCCCTACCCTTCTGACACATTGAATGGATTTTTAGAAAAAAAGGTTTATGGTTCTTAATTCTACTGGAAGTTAACAACTACAAACTGAAAAACAGAAGTTTTTAATGCCACAGATTTCTTAAAAAAGGAAGAGTTCAGGAAGGCATACCTACTATACATCTAATTAACTAAAAAACAATAATTTTACATAGCTGGCTGCAGTGGAGTATGCCTGTAGTCCCAGACACTTGAGAGGCTGAGGCAGGAGGATCACTTGAATCCATGAGTTCAAGAACAACCCGGGTAACATAGCAAAACCCAGTCTCAAAACTATAAACAATAAAAATAATTTTACCCATAAGTTTAAGTGATCAAGTTGTGAGAAATTTCAGGGCATCTTTCAAGATTGGTGAACAGCAAGGTAAAGGATTAAAGTATCCCTGTTCCACTAGCTTCCTTTAGTTACTGGCCTCTATACACACTGGAAAACTGCCCCTGCTAACTGCCCTCCTCGTGCCAGGGACCAACTTACTGTGAGTTCAGATGAGCTGTTGAGCTTCATGGTGCAGGATCCCTGCAAGAAGCACATCCGAAATGGACTGCACTGGTGGTGCCCTGTATCAGCCCTCCCGCATCCCCCATGACCACCCCTTCTTCTCATTATATTATACATCACCCAGGGCTCCGGGCAGGGCAGGGGTGGGGCGAGGGAAAAAGCCTTAAACAACTACCAGTGGAATCATGCTGTGAACAAGGGAAATATCTTTGTTTTCTAGTTTCTTCATGTACCGGACAATATTTGTTTCTGAGTGATAGCTGTGAACACAAAACACATGGTTATAGCGGGTAAGATCAGAGAAAGGCTGTACTCATCTTCCTGAAGGACAAGACACACTGAGCTCTCGTCTCAAAGTACAAAGCAGTTTTGGCCACCAGAGACATATCAACTCTGAGGCCTCCGAGGGTGGCTGGAGGCAAGAAGCTGAGCGTGAGAGGAAACTGGGTAAAGCGTTCCAGGTGGGAACTTCCCCCTCCCCAACAGTGTCAGGGCAGGGCCACCAGGAAGCAGGCCCTGCATGGCCCAGGTCAGGAATGGGATAATACTGCTTTATTAGTGAGCCATGGCTGAGCCACAGTTACCCAGGTTGGATCGCCGTCAGCATCAGAAGCAGCCACCCCTGAGTAAACTCCCTAGCTTAGTGCCATGGTGCCAGACACAGAAGCCACCCAAGCCACACAAACCTGTTGAACACCTGATGTGTGAGGAACGGGCTAGTTCTCTTGAATGTGGACCCTGGGATACCTCTCTGCTCCTCCCCCATACTTTCGGCCACCAGTTCCTGCAGGAAGAAAGCACCAGAACTAAAGGGCAGAAACCACGCCTGGCAGAGGGACCAGCATAGAACATGTGAGATGGATCAGACACACACTAAAAAGCCCCAACTATTAAACTCTATGAAGGAAACACAGGAACAAATCTGCCATGACCTTGGATTCAGCAATGGTTTCTTAAATATGAAATTGAAAAGAAAATAAAAAAAAATAAATTAGATTTCATTAAAATTAAAAACATTTTGGTTGGAGGTATAGCTTAGTGACACAGGGCTTGCCTAGCATATGTATGAAAAGTCCTGAGTTAAGTCCCTAGTACTGCAAAAAACATTTAAAAATATATGTTCATCAGAGGCCATAACAGAGAGTTACAAGACAGCCCACACAACAGAAGTATTTGCAAATCACGTATCTGGTAAATTTACTCTCCAGAACACATGTTAGCTTGCTCCTCCTCTCTCCCTGGGCTGAGAGTATGACCATCTGATCCTACACAGGTAGCCCCAGGACATTCCTCAAACAGACAGACCACTTAACTGTGATTAAATCTGGTGCAGTGTTAAAAAGGGAATAGGTTTGTTCAACCCTACTAATTAAAAGTTAAAGTTCAAAAGGGAGCACTGTGAGGCTCTGGTAATTCACCATCAGTGTCCAGTGCCCAAGTCCTCTCTCAGAGGGCACAGAACCAAAACAGTGCCACGCCATACCCTGGAAGGTACTGCTACTTGTGCAGCAAAGGCTCTCACTCAATCATTCAGAGAATACTCAGTGATGACTTTCCTGCAGCAGGCGGTGCACCATGTTTTGATTGGATTCTCTCACAGATCAAGGGAGCTACTGACTACTCTTCCACTTTAATCCCATGCAACATTCATCCTGATCCAAGTTTGCCTCTGCTACTTCATTATTTTAGAGACCAATTTGGTCACACTAAAGTGCTTTTATTTCTCATAGAATCTCTCTTCACTTGGCCTATTTAATAAAAAAATAAAGTTCAAAAGAGAACTCTGCTTAGTGTTTGGAACACCTCTGAGGCTACTTTCCTTCTCCACTGTGCCATCTTAATGCCTCCTCATCTTTGAGATCTCAGAACTAAGGACAGTCAGTCCAAGCCCTGTAGAGAAGCTCACCATCTGAGCTTACAAGGTGATCTCACACGCCACTGTCAAGCACCTGGATTGGAGTGCTATGCTTTTAAGCCTGGATCCCCACTGGATTACAGACTCAGTATGGGCAGGCAGCATGTCCCATTCATAGCCTCAGGGCCTATCACAGTACCTGATACGTATCAGGTCCTCAGCTGCCATGTATTAAATAAATGAGCACCAAAACTTTCCCCAAATTCACAATAACTACGATATCAATGCCCCAAATCTTTGTATTAGGGAACAGTTTCAATTAAACAGCATTAACAAGTCTTCCAACTACAGTGGGACCTCAGTTAATGAACTTAATTTTTTTCCCAATTCTGGTTGCAAACTGAATTGGCTGAGAACCAAATCAAATTTCTCCCTAAGGTCAGCATTGAACCTAGCCATTGAATTTGGTTCCACTGTCGTATAACTTAGTCTATGACCAGAATCATGGCAAGAATCAAGTTCAGGATGCGAGGTACCACTGCAGCCTGACTGCACGGTCTTGGCTGGAGCTTTCCAAGAGTGACCTTTAGCTGTCGGCAGTCACATGAGCAAGGGGCAGGCGGTGGCATTATTTTATAGCGGCCACCCCAAGGTCACACATGGGTCCTCCCTCCCTCACACTCAGGTTCCAGAGAGGCAAAGCCACCTCTGATACCGCCTTCTCAGCCACCATGAGGAAGCCACGCCTTCATTTACTTACTGCAGATGACTCACAGCCAAAGATCCACAACAAATCATCCAGATCGCTCTCATTAACGGTCTCATCTAGAGAGATACCAAGCTACAGAAACAAAAACAAACAAGGAAGAAAAGCATCAGCTCTAACTCCAAAGTCACCAGAGGATCCACAGAGAGGTCAAAGGGAAGAAGGTGCCAAACAAAATTCCCAAGGGAAAAACCAAGGAATACCGTGAGCTTCAGAAGAACCCTTAGGGGAAGGTGCCTGAGATGTCCCAAGGGTCACTTTGACAGGCCAACAGCCCAGGTGCTGTGGGACACTCCTCCCGGAACTAAGTAAGTTTAACTTTTTCTTCATTTTCCTTACTTACGGTATCACCTGTCAGAGTCTTTACCTTGAGTAATCCCCACGCATGAAAACCCAGCCTTGGTGAAAGCTGAGGATAAATGAGTATCAGAGTCTTTACCTTGAGTAATCCCCATGCATGAAAACCCAGCCTTGATGAAAGCTGAGGATAAATGAGTATCTATCTGAAAATGTCACGCGGTATTCCAAATTGGAAAACATACCCATTCAAGAAAACAGAGTGTGCCTCAACTCCCATTGTTTCTAATAAAGAGCAATGCTTTTGGTAAGAAAAGTCATGAAATTCAGAGAATCTGACAAAATACTGAGACTCTGACTTACTGTGCCATCCTCGAAGAGACGAAAGTTGATTTGCCGCTGAGCAGCCCTGGTCAAGACCTCCTTCAACGAGCAGCCACACTGAACCTTCAAGGTGTCAAAGAACATGTCGTGATGGAGGCAGTGACCTGCTCGCTTGAGACCTACACAAGACAGGAGAGCCATGGATCCTTGATACAGAAACTTCTCCTCAGCTGTCAACATTTCACAGAGAAATAAAGGAGTTTCTACCACAGGCTGTCCCTGGTCCTAACCAGTATTTTGATGGTTGCTTAAAAGATAAATACATTTATGCCCCAGGCAGGGTGATGCATGCCTATAATCCTAGCACTCAGGAGGCCGAGGCAGGAGGATGACTTTAAGTTTGAGGCTAGCTTGGACTATATAGCAAGAGCTTGTCTCAAAAAAAAAAAAAAAAAAAAAAAAAAGTAAAAGTACATTTATTATTATGGTAGAAAATCATGTCAAATAAAAAATTTTATGAAACACATATAAAAAGAAAATTCATCACCACCAACTAGAACTAAGTACTGCTTCATTTTGGTGTGCATAACTCTGAGTATCTTAAGTGTGAGATCAATAAACTCATTATTTCCAATAGCTGTATAACAGTCAAAAACACAGGTATATCATAATTTAATCACTTATTATTAAATATTTAGGCTATTTCTGAGACCCGGGTGTTATAAACAAGTTTCAATGGACACAGTTACCTGCTTATGACCTTTAGATATATTCCTAGAAGTAGAATGCCAAATTATAGGAACTTTTTAAAGCTTTTGATACGTAGTATTTGTGACATCCATAAGTCATAAAGTATCATAATTTTTCCTAATCTTTATCAATGTGATGGGCCAAATACTAGTTTATTGCTTTAATTGATACTTCCTTGAATCTTGTCAGTTTGAAATTGTGTATCTTTATTATTGTATACGGTTTCTTTCTAAATTACATTTAATGTCACTCGCTTATTTTATGAAAAGATTAAAAATTCAAACAAAAGAAGGGAATGACAATAGTTAATACATTGTGTATCATAATCTTACATGTAGTTACTCGAGTATAAGACTAAAAAAGTCTCTAAGAAATAGATAATAGTACAATTTTATTTTCAGTGAACTAATAAAAACTAGTACTATCAATGAAACAAATCAGTGCATAAATTAAAACATATTTGAGACAAAAGAATAATCTGGAGGGCTGGAGATTTAGCTCAGTGGCATAAGCGCCTGCTTGCAAGCAGGCAGTCGTGAGTTCGATCCCCGCTACCGATAAAAAGGAAAAAGACAAAAAAAAGAATAATCTGGAAAACTTTTTGAACTATTTATCTTTTTTTTTTTCTTTTTTTGTCTTTTTCCTTTTTATCGGTACCAGGGATCGAACTCACGACTGCCTGCTTTCAGGGCAGGCACTTATGCCGCTGAGCTAAATCCCCAGCCCTGAACTATTTATCTATTTTGCTTGTTCTCTCTAATACACATATATACAATACACATATATACAATTTTTAGTGTTATTTTCCACCGCTGTTTATTATTTTGTGTTTAGGGGTAAAGAACATAAATAATATTTATTAAAAATACTAACACTAAGTCTGTCATAGATATCAAAAATATTTTAAAGTTTGTCATCTGACTGCTAATTTTACATTTATTATTGGACATACTCCAAGTTTCCGATTTGACCTATCAGTTTTGTTAAGCTCAAATATTTTAAACAGATAACCAACTCACCTTCTGACAAAATCAAAGTGGCATTATGCACTCTCCTGGCAATATGCTTTAGCCCATGGGAACCATGGTAGATGGCGAACATGGCAGCCACATTGGCCAAAAGGGCCTGAAAGAATTAAGGGCAATTAAAAAGTTTTTGTATTTCAAATGAAATCACCAACATAGTGAAAAGAAAACTCACAGAACGGGAAGAATTTTAGCCAGCTGTCCCTCAGACACATATCTAGAGATTTATAAGAACTGAAAAACATCAGGCCCCTCAAATTCAAAGACCCAATCCAAACATGGACGTCAGAAATGAACACACATTTCCCAGAGGAAGAAATACAAATGGCAAATAAATACATGAAGACATGTTCAACATCTCTGGTCATACCAGAAATGTAAATTAAAACAGCATTGAGATTGCATACTACTCCGGGAAGAATGGCTGCCATCAAGAAATAAACTGGTAACAAATGTTGGTGAGGCTGTGGGGAAAAAAGAACCCTTCTCCGCTGCTGGTGGGAGTGTAGACCAGTGCAGCCATTGTGGAAATCAGTGTGGAGATTCCTCAAAAAAGTAGGATTGGAAGTCCCATTCAACCCAGCTATTCCCCTTCTGGGTGTTTTCCCAGAAAAATTTAGAATGCCACACCACAGTGATATATGTGTACCTATGTACATAGCAGCACAATTTGTAATTGTTAAATCTTGGAAACAACCAAAATGCCCATCAACTGCAGAGTAGATGAAAAAGATGTAGTATTTTTATGCAATGGAATATTACTCAGCTATAAAAAGGATGATCTTGAGGCTTTTATAGGTAAATGGAGGCAACTTGAGACCATACTCATACATGAAATAAACTCACATTTATAAATATCATATTGTCTCCCTAGTATAACAATAAAAAATAAAAATCTGAAAGAGTAAGAAGATCCAAAATATACAATAGATATTATAATAATGAAAGGGAAAGAAAGTGCACAAAAGGACAGAGCTACTGGGATAGAGGAAAGGAAACAAGGAAGAAAGGAAAAGATTACATGTATAGTGGTAAATTTATGTACATGTATGTATATTAGATAACTATACTACTAATCTCTCTTAGTTCACCAAAAAGAACAGTTTGTGCTATAATTGTTTGATTGATCACTTTTGTACCTAGATTTTGTAATCTGAACAACTAGTTCTGAAATAACAATGTGCAATATATTAACCAGTGCTAATTCCTTACTTTTTTCTTTTTTGAAATTCTGTATCATTTCTATTCGTTTTTTTCTATTTTGCCTTTTAAAATTAAAAAAATTTTAAAAAAAAGAATAAAGGACATTTCAGAACCATGTCCCCATTGACTTGATAGAAGACTATTTATTTGAAAAAGAAATTAAATGACTTGGGATGCTAATACTGCAAATAAAGATATAATTAAATCATCAGATTTCCTGGATTTTCTACGTTAGTTAGGGACCCTTTATAACCTGCTTGACTATGTGAATATATACAAATATCCAAGACACAGGGTTCTCACTCATGCCTACAATTATGTTGCCCACAAGAGGGAGAGCAGGCTGCTACATCACATCAAAACCATATTTAATAAGCTGGGCATGGTGGCACATGCCTAGAACCCAGTACTCAGGAAGCTGAGGCAGAAGGGATCACTGTGAGTTGGAGATCAGCCTTGGATACACAGTGAATTCAAGGCCAGCCTGAATTATATCCTGAGACTCTGTCTCAAAAAAAAAACAAACCATAATATAACAAAACCAATATTTAATAATGAATTTGTTAGACCCTAACCTTAATGAAATTGGAAGGGAAGGGGTACTCCCACGACGCCACTCCTGAAACTAGCATTACCCTGATTCCAAAACCAAACAAGGGCCCAACCAAAAAAGAGAATTTACAAGTCAATCTCTCTAATAAAATAGGCACAAGGTATGTATTGGCAAATAGAATGCAAGAAGATCACACACCATCCCTTCATTCCAGGATGCAGAAATGGCTCAACATACACAAATCAATACATTTACTACATCACATAGACAAAAATAATAATCATCTCAACAGATATAAAAAAAGCCTTTCACAATATCCAACATCTATGTGTGATTAGAAGCCTCTGACAAAATTAGATATAGAAAGACCTTATCAGAATCTGATAAAAGCTACTATGACAAACTATACCAACATCATATTAAACAAAAAAAAACTAGAACTTTCCTCTAAAATCAGGACCAAGACAAGAATGTCCACTGTTACCACTTCTGTCTAACACAGTACTCAAAACATTAGCCAGAGAACTCAGGCAAGAGAAAGAAATATGAAGTACACGTTTAGAAAAGGAAGAAGTTGAATTATAATTATTCATAGATGTTATGATACTTTACATAGAAGATCTGAAAAATTCCACCAAAAGAAACCCTAGAATTAAACTAAATTCAGTAATATAGGATACAAAATCAAAACACAAAAATCCATAGCATTCCTGTATATAAATAATGAAGCCATGGCGGGGGGGTAATCAGGAAAACAATATCATTCACAATGGCACCAAAAATAAAGACTTAGGAAATAACCTAACCATTTTAGTGCAAAACCACTCTGATGAAAATTACAGTACTCTGAAAAAAGAGATCAAAGGATATCAGAAAATGTAAAGATCCCCTATTCCTGTCTAGATAGAACAAATATAGTCAAGTGGCCAAACTGCCCAATCAAAATACCAAAGGCAAAGCAATGCTAAAATTCATACAATGCAGAAGAGACTCAGATTAGCAAAAGCCAATCCTGGGTAATGAGAACAAAGCATGAGACATCCCAATCCCAGCTTTGAAGTTATATTACAAAGCTAGTGATAAAACAACTAGCATGATATTGGCACAAAAACAGACATTTTGATTCAATGAGGCAGAACAGAGGATGAAGAAACAACCCCAGGCACATCCTGCCATCTGATCTTTGCAAAGTGGACCAAAAACATATGCTGGAGGAAAGACAGCCTCTTCAACAAATGACCACCCCCGTGCAGAAGACAGGATCTGGACCCCTACCTCTCCCCACATACTAAACTAAATCAAAACAGACAAAAAAATATAAATGTATAAACAGTAACAATCTTCTGGAAGATAAAACAGGTGACTCTTGAAAAATACATTAACACTTTATTTTCCGACAAATTTCAACTGCACAAGAAATAACATCAAGAATCAATAAATGGGATTGTCTCAAATTAAAAAGCTTCAGGCTGGTAAATACACTGCAAAAAGTTCATTATAATATAGGTTTTGAGCCATTGAAAATAAACCAAATGGAGCTACAATCAAAGCAATTATGGTTTCATTCATACTATGGAATAAAGTGCAATTGTTAAAAAATAAACAAGGATAGATTTGTATGAACTAAGAAAGAATTCAGTATACATAGCTAAATTTTAAAAAGCAAAGCCCAAAACAATATGATAAAAAATACTGCAAGACAGAGAGGCAATAAAGAACTGGGGACGTGTGTGTAGAGGTTAGATCTGAGAATTTTATACTCACATGGTTGTTAAAGGACAAAGAAAGTAAAAAAAAGTTAAAGTACAAAGGAAGTAAAGTACAAAGCAAGTAAAAAAAAAAAAAAAAAAAAGAACAAAGCAAGTGATTTTGAAGCACTCAAAAACTTGGAATACAATTCTACAGCTCTTGAAAACCCTCTGACCCAAGCTCTGAAGCAACTTTAAGAGCTGTGGGGACCATCCGGGCCATCAGCCACGCCAAATACTCTGACAGCCCCAGTTGTCCCAGCTCACTCCCAGGAGGCCACTGCAGTCCCATCCATGAGGACCTCTCCACGGCCAAGATGGTGACAGAGCAGGAGCCCTCACACCCTGAGCCCCTCACGCAGATACATGAGATAAAAAGTAGGGAGTGCTCCCTTTGTTGTTTCTCTAAGCTTAGCCTAAGATCTGAAGATGTCGTTTTAGGTTAAACAAAAACAATGTGGTTTTTTTTTGTTTTTTTTTTTTTTAACTTATTAAGCCATTTACAATGGAGTAAACACAGAATGTGCACACACACTCACAAAGCCATAGGACACACAATATTTTGGTTCTGACAAGACCACGGCCTTCCTTACCCCTACGATTTTACTATTTCTAGCATGAGGACTGCTTGGCAAGCAGTAAATGAATGATCAATTCAGTGAACGAGGGAGAAGCTCACTTCTGGAGCATTCAGAGGTGTGATTTACCTGAGCCGTACAGATGTTGCTGGTAGCTTTGTCTCTCCGGATGTGCTGTTCTCGGGTTTGAAGAGCAAGGCGGTAGACTTCTTTGCCAGTGGCATCCCTGGAACAAGATAACCCACCCTCTGTTTAGCACAGATCATCATAGCAGCAGGTACCATCAAAAGGAGAATGTCTTTCCTACCCAGGTGAACTGAATCAGCAAAGTTACGTGGGTGTGAGCATATTACAAATCCATTTCCAGCTGGGCAGGTAGTAGAGGCCTGTAATCCCAGCACGCAGCAAGCAGAGGCAGTTTGAGACCCAGTCTGGGTGACACAATGAATTCAAGGCTAGCCTGAACTACAGAGCAAGACCCTATTTCAAAAACAAATTAAATTAAACAATTAACAAAAATTTTCAAACCATCCTAAGAAGTCCACTGATTTTTTTTTTTTTTTCATTTAGAGACATATGGAATAAGAACCAATGAAAAGAAATTTCCCAGGGTTGGGTTTGATGATGGCACATCCTTATAATTCCAGAATATGGGCGGCTTAGACAGAAAGATCACCATGCATTCAAGGCCAGCCTGCACTACACATTGAGTTCAAAACCAGCTTGAACCATATAGCCAGAACTGGTCTTCAAAAAAAAAGAAAAAATAAACTCCATGAATTATCCACCTAAGAGGATGTCATTTGATGACTGACAATTAAATTTCACTCTGAACTTCTTGGCAGAAACAGGAAGAAGGGAAACACCTGTGAAAATAGAATTTCTATACTAGAAGTACAGAGATTGGCAATTTAAAAACAAAAATGTTAAATCTTACCACTATCTCTCAAATTTTTTCCTCTTTAATGCAGTTGAAAATTTAGGATCTCACTTTCAGAAAAATAAAAAGTTCATCATGAAAATCTGCCAACAACAATATATCAAACTATTTAAATTAGAAAGTCCTCTGCCTCATCTATGGTGAAGAGACATCACGAAGCAAGCTGATATGACAATACTTGATAAAACTGTTATTTTTTACACTAAAAAAGTTGTTGTGTCACAAAGTATTGCAAATCTTTACCATTCACCAATTATTCTGGCTTTTAGCAAAAAGATTATGTTAAATTTTCCCAGTAATTATTCTGGCAGTTTTCAAAACTGCTTTTTGTTTTGCCATTGACTTCACATTGAGTGACATCCCCAACCCTATTTATTTATTTCAAGTCAGGGTCTTGCTCAGGTGGGACCTCAAACTTGCAGCCCTCCTTCCTCAAGCCCCAAACCGTGGAAATTACAGGCATTTACCACCATGCCCAGTTCTTCTAAGTCCTTATTCTGAGAAATTTCATTAATGAGAAGCACTAGATTAAAAACGCATTTAGAAAATATTTGAGATTGGTTTGCTACAATAAATTTCCAGCTATCAAAAATACTCTTGTAGCTTTAGGAGTTTGAATTGGTGAATATTTATGACACGTGGAAAAGCATGGCCCACACTGTACAGTCTCAGGTGCACAAAATGGCACATCCTGCTGGGCTGCTTATGACTGTAGATTACTCTATTCTTTCTTCTTGTGTTGTTTCCTGTAATGCTCATATAAAAAATTTTAAAGTAAAGATTATTTTTAGAATTCAACAAAAAGAAAAACATTACTTGACAGGCCATGTGGCACAGGAACTCCTAGGAAATGTGTGCTTTATAATAAATCTCTCTTGCACTTGTATCTGCATAATAGTGTGGCAGGATGATACTTTTGAGAAAGGAAATGGTGAGAACAAAGCATACACAAATATCCAGTCTTTCAAGGTCCCGTCAGTCTAAATAAATGCACCTACATGTCAGTGACAACAATACTAATATGCTGCAGTCACACTTTTTCAAATATGTACAAATATTACATTGTTTGAGAGAAGCTAGTTTATACCCCAGATTCCTCTGCGTAGTCTGAGCTATACGTTTCTTTACTTGACCCAACAACAATAAAAAGGGACAGGAAAATCCTAACCCCAGTAGCGTGGAGGAGAACTAGAGCTGCTTTACCTCGTCACACCAACCATCCTGCCAGGTGCCATCCTCACCAAGTTTTCTTTGACAGCAAAAAAGGCTGCGTGTGGTCCCCCATAGCCTAGTGGCACGCCAAACCTCTGAGAGTTTCCTAGGGCGATGTCCACCCCGAATTCTCCAGGGGGCCTCAAGATACACAGAGCTAGAAGATCAGTAGCACAGCAGGTCAGGCTCTGGAAAGGAAATGAGAGAAGGGGTCAAGACTGTTACCTTTCCCTGGGAGGGGGACAGAGTACAGAGTGCACGATCTCCCCTGCAGGTGGACTGGCTGAGCCAGCTCAGAGTCTTAACTCCTTTTGCTCATTCATTCATTCATTCAAAAAATATCCGCTGAGTATCCATCATGTGCCAGGAGTCAGTAAACAAAAATTAATAGGAAAGAGGTAGGAAGCAGACTTTTACTGTTACATAGGATAGCAGAATGGAAATAGGAGGCAGCAAAAGAACTCTAGACAGACAGAAGCTAGAACACATCTCCCTGAGCCCCCACAAAGCTCTCTGCCTACCCCATTCTCATGGGCTCGCTCCACCAGTTCTGTGAAGTCCTCCACCTTTCCCTCGGTGTCTGGGTATTGGAACAACACTCCACTGACATCTTTTCCACTGAAGTCCATTTCATGGGGTAATTTCAACTCAACGAGGACTCCACGAAACCTGGAAAGATGTAAAACAAGGAAGAATCACACATTCATGTATGGGATAAACAAACTAATTCACCCATTTCAGTGAGCCGGCATTCATTTTCTACATTCTCCCAGGCCTGTCTACCCCACCCCGGTCCTTTTATGCTAAGAACTGCCTTGTGATGTCACAGGTCAGGAAACCCCTTCTAAAGGGGTGGTAGCATGGGATGCGAGACGAATGGGCATTGTGCCTAAAGGAGAAAGCAACTATGCACAGTGGCAGCTGGGCTGTGTTTCTGTGTCCTGAGACAGCACTCGCCAGTACAACACACTTCAGTCTACACCACATTACATGAAGTGCTGAGTGGATTTCCTGTGAACTATGTTTGCAGGGAATATGCAAAAGCTATAACTGTTGTGTGCGAGTTCAATTTTACCCTGTTCCTCAAACTTTCCAAAATACTACTGAAATGGTTTAAAATTTTTAATCTTCTTTTTATGAAAGAAGATAAAATGGCATGATAACTTACCATAACAAAAAGGCAACTAAATATCACAAATTTCCCCCTCAATTCTGAGAGCGCACTTACTAGACACAGCCCTGGGGAATACTGGAGTGGAAAACTCCACAACCCCAGTTAAAAGCAGGTTCACCTCCAATCAGATTGGAATGTGGGAAGGAGATGCAGCAGAGATGAGAATGCTATTACCCGGGGCTCACTACACAAATGAATATAATTACTTGGCGCGGGTCTGGACAACAGCTATCGTCTGCGGGTGGCAACGAGGGTCGACAAAAAATTTCTTCCTCTTATTATGTCTGTTGAAATGAAAAAGCACATTCAAACATAAACATCAAAAAAAGTCAGAGAGTCTGAGAAAGCAAAGCCAATGTGATCTTCGGGGAAAGTCTGAGCACAATATAAAAAATTCTGAGTCATTAATAACAATCCCACCTAAATCTAACTCCCACTCCAACCCCATTTAGCAAAACCAGTGTCATATAGTTAAAAGTTCTTAAAAATATATGAAAAAAATGAAAGAAAAGCCAAGGGCAATGATAGACACGTGAAAATTAAAAAGAAAAAGAAAGTTCTAAAACATCTTGACATTTTATTACCAAAAGGAGCATTTAGTGATATGAATTGCATGCCCACTCAGTAAGAAGAGAAAAGGACTCAGATAGGCTGTGATGTGCACAGGGTTACAAAAAGCACAGCTGGATCAACGACCAAATCCCAGGGGCTTTTCAGAAACAAAAACCAACACGATGTATCAAAGCACATCTAGATAAAAAGAAAAGCATGTATCTGTGGGTAGAGAGGGTATACATGTGTGTTGTGCTGTGCATGTAATCTCCAAGAAAGGTACACAATAAACAACCCGGGGGTGGCACACGCCTTTTCAATCCAGCATGGGCTACATAGTGAGTTCAATGCCAGCCTGAATGGCACAGCCAGATCTGTCTCAAAGAGCATACAGCTAAGCTCTGTAGTCTGCTTCCCAGGGTAAATCTAAATGCAGACACCCAGCATGAGAATTAAGAGGAGGAAGTGAGTTAAGCATCTGGAAAAGGAGCAGATGCTGCACTAGTGGTTGTCAGCAAACTCTGCACATTGTATGGAAAACCCTCAGCTTTTCAAGTGGAAAGCAAATGCTTTCTTATAGAAAAAGAGGTTGCTGGGGGGGGGGGGCAGTGAGAAGGCAAAAGCAAGAAAGAGCTGGAAAATCAGTGACAAGCTGATTTTAGGTTAGTGACCAGAGAGATGAGCAGTGGCTTTCCTTTGTGATCACCCTTTCCCAGGAGCACGAAGCGCCCAAGTTCACTCCGGGCTGCTCTGGAAGCAGAAGGCTCCAGGGCTGGAATCTACCACAGAGGTCACCACACCTGAACTGCTGACTGAGTTTGAGCCTCATCTCCCCACCCTGCCAGTCTGTGGGAGCCAAGAGACAGACCTGCCAAAGTGGGGTCACATTTCCCCACTGGGTGCTTCTACATGAGAATCCTACCAGGAAGGTCTGCTCTGGCGAAACCACAAAATTGAGAATTAAAACTGGGGGAGAGCTCATGAACCATTGTTAACTGCATGCCAGGACCCTGGAAAAACGTCTAGAAATGGATTTCAGGAAACACTCTGAAGTTGTGACTAAGATTTATTAAAAGGATGCACATGAAATGTCATTAGTAACAGTGAGTGGTGGGGACAAACTAAACACGAGCAGAGGCAAAGCTGCATAGGTCATGGTACGTCCAGGGCGATGGGTCAAACACCAAGGAGACAACAGGAGGCACGTGGCAGAGAGATGACTAAGGAAATGGGGAGTCTATTGTAAAACAGGAAAAAAAAATCCAGAAAATTTATAATCCAAGTACAATGCTCTCTATAAAAGACACTGATCTTATTACACACTAATTGTGTAATACACAAATTGCCAATTCTCCCCAGTATCCATTCTTCCTTTCAAACCCAGTAACAGAACTCCAATATTCAGGGAGCATCAATGGGCTTATCTGAAAAACTATTTCTCCGTGGGGGTTTTCCTTTGTTGTTGTTGTTGGTACTGAATATCATACTCAGGACCTTCACACCGTGTTATACCTCCGGTCCTTTTTTAGCCTGAGGTAGGGTTTAAGTCATTAAATTTTCCAGACAGGGATCTAACTTGTAATCCTCCATCTTCAGCTTCCCAGAGTGCTGCGATTACAGGCCTATGTCACCCTGGCTTAACTCAAAAATTTCCTTAGAGGGTTTGTTTTTTGAGACAGAGGCTCACTATGTAGCGCAGGGTGGCATGCAGTGGTGCATGCCTACAATCGCAGCAGTCAGGTAGCTGAAGCAGGAGGATTTCTAAGAGTTCAAAACCAGCCTGTGCTACAAAGTGAGCCTTTGTCTCAAAAAACAAACAAACAAACAAATGAAAAACTCCAGAAACTTAAAGTTTCTCAGCCAGGTGTGATGATGCATACCTGTAATCTCAGTACTCTGGGAAGCTAAGGAAGGAAGGAGGAATACAAGGTTGACTTTAGTCTGGCAACTTAGTGAGACTGTTTCAAAAAATTTTTATTTTTATTTATTTCCCCAATTCCATTTTATTTCAAGGAGAAAAGAAAAACAGGAAGGAAAAAAACTAAAACAAAATTTCAATACATGTCAATCAGGGAAAAAAATTTTAAAGCATGGTTGACAACACAGTATAAAGTTCCTGGGATCAATCCCTAGTAGTTGGGGGCAGAAGGGCTTATTAACAGGACCTGGACCTAGTAGTGCACACCTATAATTCCAGGTAATGTATGTGGGGGATTGAAGAAGGAAGATCACAAATTCCAGCCTAGCAACTTAGTGAGACCCTCTCTCAAAATAGACAAATAAAAAGGGTTAGGAATATGCAGTGGACCCTCAAGCCACAACTTGCCTCACATCTGAGCAACTTGGGTCACGATCAGAATTGTAGGTTTCACTCACAACCAAAGTCTTGAGTTATAACCAAAATCCCAGCCTCTTGTGCAGTTGTAAACAGAGTCATGATGCCAGAAAAGGGTACGCAAGGACACATTACGTGTCAATTTAAGCCCAGATACATGTTTTGTGGATGTGATTTCAGTCAGGGCTTTATATAATCACTAGGATTACTGCTATCAAAATGGTCCAAGAAAGCTAGAAAAGAAGCTAAGTTTGGAAAGGAAGGTAAGAAGGAAATTCTGAAGAAATATGAGATTGGCGTCCTTGTGAGCAATCTCACAAATATGTACAGCATATTGAAATCCACCATCTCAACAATCTTACAAAAGCTAGTGTCACTAAAGGTGTCAGTAAGTCACAATCAACAGTGTTAGATGAGATAGAAAGGCTATTATTGGTGATGATAAATGAAAGGCAGATGCTAAGTTATACCCTGAGTCGATAATTTGCGAAAAAGCTAGAGCTAATGTTTCTGGTAAGCCAGGCGCATTTTATAACCTTCTGGTGAATACACTAGGAAAATTATTGGTGTTTTTGGTAAATTATACACATTATACACCACATCTTATTTTGAAAAGTTAACTTATGGGGTGTTTTAGAATGTACTTTGGGTATTTCCATTATTTCTTATGGGAAAATAGTCTTGACTTACAAGAGGCTTGCCCAGCATGCACAAGGCCCTGGGTCAAATGCTGTCAGCACCCCAAACATGCACATGCACATACACACAAATACAAACACACACACACACCACACAAACATAAACGCATACATAAGCACACCTACAGAAATACCCACACACATAAATATATACACACGAACATAAGAGATACACATATATCTACAGAAATATAAACATACACAGAAATACACATACAGAAATACATACATGTACACCTACGGAAATACCCACAGTATTTACACAGACATAAAATATATGCATATACCTATAGAAATAGAAACACACACATAAATTCAAACATACATATACCTACAGAAATACAAACATACATACATATGTTTATTTAGCTAACAGTCCCCATACCCTCGCCCTTTGATTCCTTCTGAGTGCAGACAGCATGGCTCTCCTCAACCATCATTGGTAAATCATAAGGATCTAAAGATGTCAGAAAGGAGTGTATATGTCCTCAATATAATATCTCCATGTTGTCATAACACCCCTCAACATTATGTAAGAGAAAACGAAGTATCTTTCTCACGCAACTTGCAATATAGTGGCTTTTTTAAAACCACAACTAGAGCTGGGTATGGTAATTTTGGGCAGCTGAGACAGGAGGATAATCATGAGTTTGAGGCCAGGCTGGGCTACACAGTTATACGGCCAGTACTATACAGCAAAATTAGACCCTGTCTCAAAAAGAGAAAAAGAAAATCAAAACTAGATCAGATCTTTTTGTTACCTCACCTAATGATTGAATGTCTCTCAAACATACAAACATATATAGTGTATGCCCACGCAAGTGTGTGTGACAAGTCCTTGAACACTGATCAGGACATGGGAGTGTGTCCTCGTGGGCAGCAGGAGAGGGACTTCAGGATGCCCCTCTCCCACACAGAGTCCTGGGCTGCACCTCTCACCTGTGACACAGCTGCATGGCCTCCGCTGCCGCAGTTGCCTCATCCAGCAGGGATGCGTTGGCTGTGTCCATGCCTGTGAGGTCGCAAACCATGGTCTGGAAGTTAAGCAAACTCTCCAGCCTCCCCTGAGACACTTCGGGCTGGTACGGAGTGTACTGGGTGATCCTGGGGAGACACACAAGGCCGAGTGCACGCTGAGCCCCACTATTCAGAGGAGCTCGCTAGGTGCCTTCCTGTCACCATTCACTGCCTGGATCTCAAGAATTTTATGCAGCGCATTAGTAAGCTTCTGTCCAATCAGGTTTACAAGGAAAACAATTTAATACAGGACACATAATTTATAGAATCATTTTATAATAGTCACTCAAAGAGTCACGAACAAGATGTGCAGGAAATCTGACCACACACTGAGACTCAAGGAATCCAGCCAAGGGCCTAGATCCCACAGCAATGTCCTGCACAACTCCAGCAGAAGACCTAGAGCCCATGGCAGTGCCTCCCAAGCGTCCAACTGCAGGTCCCAAGACAATGAATGACTCATGCAAGTCAGTTTCACAGGTGTGCACTGGGAAGGCTGAAAGGTCAGTGATGGAAGCTAGAAAGTCTGTACCAGCAGGATGAAGGATCTGTGCCAGCAGGCTGAGGGTTCTGCCCTGGAACCAAGAAACTATGGTCAAAATAAGGACCAGGGCTCCCCCAAAAAAGTACCACAGCCATCCTCAATGACACCGAGGTCCCAAACTCCTCCAACGACAAGAATAGCCAAGTTTGTATCAGGAAGCCAGCATGACAAAGCTTCTCCTGGAGATTAAATAACACACATCTTCCCCTCCAAAGCCAGGAAGCGATGCTCAAAGTAAGGACCAGAGCTCCCCCAAAGTGAACCAGAGCCATTCTCAGCAACAATGAGGTCCCAAGCTCTACTGACGATCAGAGCAACCAAGTTCTTACCAGTAAAGAAGGTTGACAAGCTCCTCCATAACCCACGGCAACAGGAGAACCAACAGCACCAACTAGAACCAGCAACACTACTTTTTCCTCTTTAGTTCTTTTATGCTAGCAACAGTCCTCAAGAGGGCCATCCACACTCAGCACCAGGCTGACTCAGTTCAGCTGGTGTTACAATCCACCACCACAGCTTCCCTTCTGGCTTTTGTAAGGTAGACAGGGGTTAAATCATAGGACAGTAATGATGTTACCCGCTTAGGGATCATCGTGCTTATTTCTTTCTTGCTCTAAATTATGATTTTACAATATTATATCACTATTTTTAACAATCTCACTGTATAGATGTATATGAAGCAGGTCTTAAAATCTACTAGAGCCTACTTAGGATATTATAAACAGAAATTTTACTTATTACCTTTCCTTTAAATAAGATACACCCTTCACAGCTTCAATATGCAAAGCACTCACGATTATAACCTCTAAACCTCAAAACTTTCATATCTTAACATTAACTAGAAAACATACTATGTGCTGCTAAGAAATTAACTGACCTACTTAAAAAATTCTCACTATCCAATCACTAAATGTCTGTGGATAATAACTTGTAGCTACTGAAACTCAGGGATACATGACTAGGGCTTGTAAATATAGATTATCATCTTTGGTTTTCCAGTGATTAGCCATGAATGTGGCTTTAGACATGTGAATTAACCGGTTCCTTCACTACTTCTTAATTTTTTAAATTTTTCTGTAAAATTTTTCTTTTGGGGTTTTTGTCTTGTTAAAATGTTTTATCTTTTTATCAGCACATTTGCAATTTATGCAGTTTACAATCATCTTGAGGAACAGCTACATGCACATAATATAGCTTTTTTTTCCTTAATCTCTTCCCTCCTTATTCCGTAAGTATTTGTTGCCAGCTGAGAACCAGGAATGATCACAGGTTCATAAACAATACAGCTGGCCTCAAGGGAATTATGTTTACTTTTATTAGTATATCTTGCAGAACATAATGATTACAGTCAATGCGGAAGTTGGCACATGCACATAATATTTTAATTCCCTTTACTCTCCCTCCTCTCATCTCTTGGTCCACTTTCCCATTTGCAAAAAAATGTATCACCATCTTTATTTTGTTCTTCACGTTACTTACACTTTGGTTTCCCTTTATGAGAGAAACCATGCAGGATTTGTACTTGTGTGTCTTACTTGACACTGTGGTCTCGAGCATCCATTTTTCTATGAATGATGCGCATTTATCCTTCTATATGGCAGAGTATCGCAAGAAGAATATATTGTGATGAGCAAAACAAGGCAATAGATAAAAAAACCATTTCAGCGTGATAAATGCCTTTTAAAGAAAATAAGGATAAGGATAAAGGGTGCTGCTTCCTTTTCACACAAACCCCGCTTACTCTGAGCACCACCGAGCTGGCTCATGCCTGTTCGGCGCACCTGCAGGGGCAGACGCTGGCACCCGTCTCTATTGTTTTTGTTATTCCCACACTAGACTTTCAGGAGAAAGCTTTCAGTGATTTATTTATTGCTTCGATTTCATTCGGCAAGCCCTTTCCTCTCTCCCCTGTTCTCCTAAGCAAGTTCAGGCTGTTTCATTTTGCTTATCTTTTCTTTCCTAAAGAATTTGAAAGTAGTGTCTTTGGAACTTGTTTTGGTTTTGTTTCAAATATCTGATCTTTGAGGGGGAGTGTGGCAAACAGGCTGTCTTAGCATGCAGTACAAAGTCGAGATTTTTAAAATAATTTTCCGCAGTTTATTTGGTATAACAGTATGTGGGTATGTGTATGTACAGCAGAATAAATTGTGTTTCAGTTAATGCCTTGAACAGCACAGCTTAGCAACTGTAAACTAATTTGCCATAGTCTAGGTGGGTGGTAGACTGGAATGAATGGGGCACACAACACAGGACGCAGGCAACTAAAAAGCAAATGTGAGCAGAAACGGGGTCACAAAAAACCATGCAGACAGTGGCACCCACCTGCCTTGCGCTTGCACGCTCACCTATATAAAACATTCACTTTGCTCAAAACTGCTATTTAGTGTGTAGACAGACAGACAGAAGGAAAGAAAGAAAATAAACCACAGACAGGAGCATATGCACAAACCAACTAGACCATCTGAGAAATAGGAAAGATTTAGTACATTCATAGGGTTAGGTCTGCAATATACAGCATAGAGCAGTATTTAAAAACAATCCAGCAGAGCACTGAACAGTAAGGAAAAAATGAGCAAAAAATTCAAGTAAGGTGTGGTGGCATGCACCTATCACACCAACACACGGGAGGCTGAGGCACAAGATCAGAGTTTGAGGCCAGCTTGGGTTACATAGTATGTTCAAGACCAATCTAAACTATACAGCGAGACCCTGTCTCTAAAAATTTCAAAGTGCTTCTGGGATATAATTTGTTTTGGGGGTGTTCTTTTCTGGTGCTAGGGATTAAACCCAAGACCGTGTGCATACTTTGCTGAGTTACATCCCCAGGCTGCTATATGAATTTTTAGTCTAAAATATAAAATGCTACAATTCCATTTTTTGACGTCTGTAAAATCGAGTGAACTGAAATGTAAAGATATCAACTACCATTATTAACCATCTTGTGTATGTCTAACTTTTTTAATGTATAGGATATACGCGTTCATTGTAACAAGATTTTTAAAAAACCTCTGATAACTATTGAGAAAACAAAATTACCTATAATCCCCAAATTTCAAGATAACTACAAAAGGGATCTTGAAGATGCACCTGTAGATGGCCAAAGTGTAACTGATAGCCAGATAGAAGTTGGCATCTCTGCTTTTATCTGAATCCCTTAGAACCTTCAAACTTTGAGGCAGACCCTGTTCAGCTCCGCACACATGCACGCAGACATGTTATTTAGGGTTTTCCAGCCATAAACATACCTGACCAATCTCACCCCTCTTCAAGGTCAAGGACGCCGAGATAAGAGTAAATAAACTTTCAGTATCTGCAGGGACACCCAATCACAATGCCTTAGACGTCTCCAATTATTGTCAGAAATTAGTTAATCACTTCAGATTCTAGGCAAGCAGGGCCTCACAGAGCACCTCCTGAGGTGCCCACCTGCCCCAAGCAGAAGAAGTGCAATGACTCCCTAACGGGAACTGCGGCAACCTCACTTAGACAGTGGCTGTTACCTCCTGATGGGAACCCAACCACCCCTCAAGTGAGATGGCTCTCCCAGGACTTCACAGAGCCAGTGCTGCGGTTCTGATCGCCTGGACCTGACCAGGTTTCCTGCACTGCCAGCTGCCAAGTCACTGAGCCTTGCCGTTGTTCTTTGCTTACAAAACCCCTAAGTTTCTGTCAACCTTCATAGATCTTGAATCCGTGCTTCCCCCATGGCCACACCAATGGAAGCTTTGTTCCTCTAGTGGGCATCATTATGACCTTGAGAGCTGGCTTGGAGCTTCCAGGAGAGCACAGCTACTCACACATCCTTGCCCGAGCGACCTGATCTCCTCTTAGGTGCTCTTCCTCTGCTTCAGAAGGGACACACAGGAGCCACAAGGGGGACAGGGTCATCCACCTGGCCAGCCAGACTGCCCTCCCATCCTGGCCTTATTAGGGTACAGGTGGCCCAGTCCAGTCTGTTGGAATCCCCAAAGCCCGTGCTTGGGCCCTAAAAACTTCGGTGACATAATTACAGCTAACATTTAGATACATGTCTTTTTATTTCTTTTCTATATTACAGCTGTATTTACATGTGAAAGCAGGATTATAGTCTATGTAAAGTTTTATGTCTGACTTTTTAAGGTTCATATTACTCTGTGGACAGTTTCTAACAACTTTAAGTTCACTTACAAATATAACTTTAAACTTAAATGTGTTTATAGCAACATTGAAAATACCAAATTTTAGTTTTAAATCTCTTGACTTATTGATTTATTTGCTGAGACATAAACCTGTGCCTGTCATTGTTGCCAATTTTTAACCTTAAGCCCGAATTAGATGGTTTTTCTTGATTGCTTTAGGACTTAAATTGGTTAATAATAAGATGTTTCCAAGTGTTTGCCAGAAAAGAATACATACAAATAAAATTTTAGCCAGCTATAGTGGCATACACAAATAATCCTAGCACTCTGGGAGGCTCAGGCAGGAATATGATTTAGAAAGACCTTATCTCAAAATAAAAAATAAGCCTTGCATGGTGGCACACATCTGTAATCCCAGAATTTGG